TAGACCTATCCTAGGCCAGATTTTTAACCGGGGATTGAGAGGATTATCCCATAATGAATTTTTATAATATATAGTCTAAATTGATCGGTCGATAATTCAAATATCGATGCTTAAATAAATACAAATAGAGCAAAAAAATTGATTCGAACTGAAGTTTGTTGAACGAGATAATATGATAATGAGATGAAACCAGCAAGAGAAGCTTTTTTTTGGAGTGAAATGTATTGATAATGCTTTGGAAACCTACTAAGTAAACCAAGACCATGGCATCGAAAACCCCAAGCACAAAAACTCAGGCTTCTCGTCCTGCTCATAAATTCATAAGAAATGTTGGACTAGAATGTCTACCAATTTTCAAATTGGACAAGATGATTCCTTGTCTCAATGTAATAGACAACAACATATGAAGAAGAGCTGAGAAACCAACAGATAACTCCGTGTTGTTTTGCTCTTATCATTATCATTAGTAGAATGTTTATCGTAATTTATTTCTCGATATCAAGATGTCAAGTGATGATCCAATTAAAAGTTTGACGATAATAAAAACTTAATTTATGATTCTAGAAGATTTAGAAGACTTGATGAGTAGGGTTATAAGTGAGACGAGATAGATTATGAGTTCTTTGATATTGATTCGGTCTACGGTTAACACTCGAATTGAATGGAATCGACTCAAACTCGAGCTCGAACTTGACTCGAATTCTTAACAAATCGAAACCAGCTACTTGATATCCGACTCAAAAAGTTCGTGAATAACTTAAAAAAATAATATATAAACTTTTAAATTTTAAATTAAATTACAAATAATATTAACATTTATATGTTGTTTTAAATACAACAAAAGACTTTCATGTACTTAAGTTTTAGATTCGAGCTCAAGTTTAAACTTCAATCATGTTAAGTCTGAAAATGTTTAGAGCTTAAGTTTTTTACCTCGAGTTAAACTTGAACATTTTAAGCTCGTGAGCTTAACAATTTTAAACTCGCAAGTTTTTTAGTCGAGTCGAATTCAATTTTAAATTTTTTAAGTCAAGTGAAGCTCAACAATACTCGAACTTAATTCAACTCTTTTACGGTCCTAATTAAAGAATTGATGTGTATTTAGAGAACAAAGGATGTTTAGAAGACTCGAACACATCAAATCCTTTAAAAGAAATTTTCAACCATAACTTACATGCCATGCCATTGTCCTTAAAGGGTACAAATTCTATTTTTATGACGATATAATTTTATCTTTTAATGGTTGAGAGGTTCTTTTTCAAGGTGTTGGTTGACCTTCGAGTTAATGACACTAATCTAGAGAAGATACCACGGATCATGTTTAATTTACATTACAAAACCCTGAATCCTGAAGAGACGGAGCATCTTCTAGTCCCTCATGTTTTTCAAAAACATGTCTAAAATTTTAGTGCACTAAGGTGGTGTTTGTTTTCACTGTGCAACCTCTTCAAACCACTTATGTCTGCGTCGCGCAGACCACGCGCAGACATTAGGTTTCGCAGACTGTTTGTTTTTTAGAATACAGAAGCTCTTCAAACGTCTGTGCGAGCTCTTCTTGGTGCAAACTTGGTTTTATGTCTTCAAAGGTCTTCAAACATCTTAAAGAACAATTATAAAATATAGTTATTTATTAAAATAATTTTAAATAATTTAATAAGGTTATTTATTTTAAAATAATTTATTTTAAAATAATTTATTATAAAATAATTTATTTTAATTATTTTAAAATAAATTATTTTAAAATAAATTATTATAAAATATGGATTGATTTATTTTAAAATAATTTATTTTAAATAATTTATTAGTATGGATTGATTTATTTTAAAATATGGATTGATTTATTTTAAATAATTTATTAGTATGGATTGATTTATTTTAAAATATGGATTGATTTATTTTAAATAATTTATTAGTATAGACTGATTTATTTTAAATAATTTATTTGTATAGATTGATTTATTTTAAAATATGGATTGATTTATTATTGTAGTTTTATGGATTGATTTATTTTAAATAATTTATTAGTATGGATTGATTTATTTTAAAATATGGATTGATTTATTTTAAATAATTTATTATTGTAGTTGTATAGATTATTTAAATTTCAGTATTGTAAAACTAAAATTATTTAAATCTCAGTATTGCAAAACTCTTTTAAATTTAAAAAATCAGTTTATTTATATTTCAGTTCATTTTAGCAGTCTGCAGACGTTAAAAAACAAACAGTCTTCTTCTTGCAGACTGCAGACTTTTGGTTCATCTCTTCTGCTACAGATAAGGCCCGCAGACTGCAGACTTTTTACCTCTACAAAATCAAACACCACCTAAATCTCCATTAACGTCTTCGAAGTTGGTGGGATTTTGTTGGTTTTAGGTTAAACAACACAATAAACGAAGCCCCCACTCTCTTTTCTTCCAATTCAACCACAGGCATGTCTGTCAGTTCCCATCGATAACTGGTGCATCGTTTTGTTTAACAACAAACAACGATGCTGTTCTTTTCCTTCATTTTAGTATGTTTTTAATCTGTTTTCTTCTGAGTTCTTAAGCTTGTCTGATTCGGACAGAAGTTTAAGTCCATGGCTTCTGCTGGTTGACTCTTCTTTTGCTCGGTTTGAAGTTCAAATCCTAATCTTCTTTTTCAAACATAAAATATGTTGTGGCTATTACTATAAGAAAAATGATTTCCTATCAAACATAAAATATTATATTCTTTAAATAAACTTATGGATCAATAATGAGTCTTTATAATTAAATCGGGAGGATCCACTTATAATAAATCTTTATAATATTTAATTCACATTAATCGTTTAATAGATCGAATATTGATAATTAAAAAAATTTTTAAAATTAATTAGTTATATTATATGGTGTAATCATTGCAGTGTTGTATATTTATGATTAAATGACAGTTCTAAGTTAATAAGCTCATCATTAGTCATAAAACCGTTGGAAGAAAATTATGCCATTATAAACTTCATATATATATATATATATATAATAATATGGCAGTTCTAAGTTAAGCTCATCATTAGTGGATGGGCATGAGACCCGAATTCGACGGGTTTCGATCCGACCTGACTCGATTGGGTTGAGTTTTTAAAAAAATGGGTTCGGGTTGGGTTTTTTTAATGTGATGTTCGGGTTAGGTTCGGGTTTATGGTAAAAAATACCTGACCGACCCGAAAAAAAATATAATTTTACCTTATATATTAGAAATAATTACAATAATATCCCTCTATATATATTTTTCGATTAAGTCACTATTTTTATTGAATAAAAATAATATTTTTTATTATTTTTGGTCGGGTCGGGTTGGGTTTTTAAGTTATATATCGGGTCAGGTTCGGGTCGGGTGGAATCTTGTTTTGGTCGGATCTCGGGTGGAATATTTCTTGTTCTCGAGTCGGGTCGGATGGACCAAAAACCCGACCCACCCTGACCCATATCCATCCCTAATCATTAGTCATAAATTCTAGTTAAATTTAAAATTGCCAACCACTCTTTTTCTAATATAACTTTTTAAATATATATATATATATATTTCTATCGACAAAGCTTCAACTTGAACTTTATTTAAAATGTATGAAACTTTATCAAATCTTTTTTATCTTTAATGGATTTAGTTTTCTAAAAGGGATTAGAGATAAAGTGAAATGAGGAAGAAAGCAGTCTTTTTTTTCAAATAAAAACATGTAAATTGTAATCATTGTTTGACCTTCAACTTTCAGCCCTTTTGATGTTTGGTTTTGGGGTTTCACTTTTTTTTATTATTTTAAAAGGTACGTGCACCCACCCACCAACCATGCATTTACACTCATCATTTCACAATGCATCCATACGTGTGACGCATACATGATTGCACAAATAAGCTTTTCTTCTTCTTCTTTATTATAGAAGTTATCTCACTCAACATATGATTCCCCATGCCTCCATCCATGCACTTATGTGTTTACTAGCTGTACCGTTCCTCTTTCATGAAAGTGTTTTTTTAAGTTGCATTTTCATGCATGAAGCATGTTAATATGTATAAAATATAAATGCATAATGAGATTTTAAAATGATTTTTACGTCGATTGTGAACGATTTATTTCTCTACTTTTTATTATTATGCTAAATTATATTTATAGTGAATTTTAGTGCATATATCAGCTGTAAAATTATTATGGTTATTTGTATGTCAGTCAGACATGTGTAGTAGTTAGATTTTAGATTTACCGTTTTATCTATGGTTTTTGTGCACTATATTTGACTAAAAAGCCTATATACAAGGGACATAGGTTAGTCAAAGACTGGTAACTAAAGTAGTATGTCTGAAGACTTTTATTGGTGGAGAGTTGTCGACTATGATAGAGGTTAAGGGGAGGTTTTTAGAGGTCACTTTCCGGATGTATGACATCATCAATGTTACCACAATAATACGAAATATTCGAGTTTAAACATATTTAAGTCTGCAATTCTAATTTGTATTCAATATTGTGTAGAGAGAGAATATTCTGAGCAAAAATGAAATGTGCAACTGATTAAACTCCACCTAAACCAATGAACTATTGCTATATATATACTCCCAGTCCCATCCTTGTTTCTTGTCTCTTTGCTCCTTTTAAAAGTGGCCGGAGTTTAACCTTTTGGTATATATAGGGCATCGTCCTGATCGGTCAATCAAAAAAGCCACCTCAAAAACTGATTTATACCCTTCTTTTAATGCAATTGCAGAAAAGGGCTCACCTCTCCATCCCAAAAAGCCATCTTCAAAGGTGGTATAGCTTTCTAAGACAAGGGACTAGTCAAAAAAACATGGCTACCCTTTGCTTTCATGCATATATATTTGTATACAGCTCATTTTTAGTCATATATACTATATAGCTCTTCTTCCCATGCATTTTCATGCCCCCCAGTACACTAATTACTGTTTCTGCAAGTTAAAACAACAATGATTCTTGTTATTTATGTCAACTTATAATGAATAGTCTCATTCCATCATATTGCATCTCGTGTACGTTGTAAACCCATATTTTATACTTTATTCTGTTGCAATTAATGCTGGTTTTGGATGTTTCTTGGGGTGTATACATATATTAATACTTTTTTGTGTGTGTTGGGTTAAGAATTTGTCAATATCTGATGGTTGTTTCTTTGGTGCATTTAATGCTGGTTTCAGTGAATTTTCTATTCTAGCTTTAAAGCAACCATTTTATTTAACATGCCTGGAGTTAAATGGCGGGGAGTTTATCTGAAGCAGTTGGAGTTCATGGAAGCAACATCACACAAACGCTACAACAGGTACGTTTGAATCTGATTTCATCTTTATTTCTTCTTGTATTCTTCTGTTTAATTAGTCTTACTTATACTGGCAAATCGTAATAAAAGTTACTTCCTTTGAGATGAAATATTTGCAGCCTGTAACATACAGTTTTTCCCATCGACAGTGATCTATTACAGAAAAAGGTCAAGAAGAACAAGTTAAACACAATCTTTGAAGCTTTTAATCGCCATGTAAGAGTTTCCGTTGTCGTCGTCGTCGTCGTCGTCGTTCTTTTTAAGTGTTACTAGCTTCTAGTCTTTATCTCCTAGTTTGATTGTATGATTTTGTTACACAGAAGGAAATGGGAGAAATAAAGGGTCATGCTGAAGCTAAGACCGAAACTTCGAATTTTGAAGTTCGAAACTCGTTGAAGCAGGAGGTACAAATTCTCGATTTTTACATCTTTGTATGTATACGTGTATATATTCAAAGTTTTGGTTTTCCATTTTCATATTTCTGCAGATTCTACAGCTTGAAGAAAGATTGCAGGACCAGTTTGTGGTTCGGAGTACATTGGAGAAGGAATTAAGTAGGCCTTTTACATATGACGTAGCAGTTGAAAACTTAATCCCCAAAGTAAATTTCATTAGTTTTGTTACTGTCTTTTTTTTATAGTAACTTTTTCCATTAGTTAATTACATTTTACTGGGGTAAAACTCCATTGATTTTTACTTGATTCATGAAATTCCAGGATGCAAAGGAACTTATCAAGGATATTGCAGTTTTAGAACTTGAAGTTGCCCACTTGGAGAAGTATCTTCTCTCACTGTACCGAAATTTTTTTGATAATACATTCTTGTCTTTGAACACCATAGATGAAAATCTGAAAGCAACTTCGATGGCACATAAAGAAATGTTTCAAGAGGTTCAGATGCATGACATCATGTCCGAGAAAGAAAATATTGTGTCCTCTCGAAGTTCAATCGGAAATCCTCCGAAGGAATGCGACAATGTTTGGGGTACTGCGAAACTGTTAGATTCTAGCATTTATCAGAGCCATTCTTCTCTGTCTCAGCGATCGGCATATTCGGTTGATTCTCCTCAACGAACCGTAGCTAAAGCTGTAGAACAATACCATTCTCTGCCATTGTCCATGTTGGAGGTGAACTGAATCAATGCCAACTCCATTTCAAATGCCTTTAGACATCAATGCTTATGATATTTAGAGTTCTGATTTTATTTTCCCTTTCATTTTCCAGCAAACTCGGATGGATACTTCAAGTGGATTCAACTTGGCAGAGCATTTTGGAACTGGCATTAACGATCACGTGACCGAGACACCAAACTGGCTTTCCGAGGAGATGATCAAGAGCATTTCAGCCATATATTGTGAACTTTCAGATCCACCTTTGATTAACCATGATTACTTGTCTTCTCCTCTTTCACATTCATCATATGTTGGTGTTGTTTCGTCAAGAGGCCAAGGCGATACGAATACGTGGAGCCCAAAGTGTGGGAAATTTTCATCCTTCAACTCACATTTTGACAACCCTTTTAGCATCGGGGAACCTAAGGAATACAGTGGACCTTACTGCACAATGGTGAAGGTTCAATGGATCTGCAGAGATAGTAAGAAGTTGCAGGATATTGAACATAAGCTCCAATATTATAGGTGAGCTTCATTTACCAAACCTACATATATTTGATTTCTTGTGTCGACTGGAATAACTAATCTAAATCGATCGTTTTATAGGTCACTTGTCTATCAGCTCGAAGAAGTTGATGTTAGAAGGATGAAACATGAAGAGAAGCTAGCTTTCTGGATTAATGTACACAATTCTCTGGTGATGCATGTAATGTTTCTCCCAAAATAATATTCTTTACATTAAATCTTTGTTATATCTTTTCCCTATAAGTTCCTTGAGCAACTGCAACATGATTTGTTCTTGCAGGCGTTTCTGGTTTATGGCATTCCGAAAAACAATCTGAAAAGATTGTCCTTGTTACTCAAGGTAAGCAAAGCTTTTCTGGTTAATTTAACTAAAGATCATGGAATGGATGTTTACCATTGCATTTACAAATCTATGTATGATCCAGGCTGCCTATGATGTGGGGGGCAGACCATAAGCATAGACACAATACAGAGCTCTATTCTGGGATGTCGGTTGCCTCGTCCCGGACAGGTACTTTACCTTTCCCAGACAGGTACTCGTTTATCACGACACCAAAAGAACTGACAACTTACATCTGCTTGCAGTGGCTACGGATTTTGTTTCCTTCAAAGACGAAATTTAAGGTCGGGGATCCTCGAAGAGCTTATGCAATCAAATCTCCAGAACCTTTTCTGCATTTTGCACTTTGTTCGGGAAGCTATTCGGACCCTGCGGTATGCTGCTGTTTGCCTTGAATTAGTTCATATTACATCCTTCTGTCTGAGATCATATTTAATGCATTGACTTGGATCGACTCTACAGGTCCGTATATACACACCAAAGAAAGTGTTCCAGGAGCTGGAAGTTGCAAAAGAGGAGTACATCAAGGCAAATTGGAGTATCAACAAAGAACAGAAAATCATGTTACCGAAACTCATGGAGTATTTTGCAAAAGATTCAAATGTTTGCTCAGCTGGTTTGCTGCAGATGGTTGAGCAATTTACGCCTGCTTCACTGAGGAAGAATCTTCAGCCATCTTGCAAGAGGAAAACTGGGAAAACCATTGAGTGGATCTCGCACAACTTTGCATTTCGATATCTATTTTCGAAAGAATTAGCTCAGTGATGCCTGAAATGCAAGAGGTGGTGCTCTACAAGGTCGGATTTTCGAATGACAGATGAATCATAACTGCAACTTTCTGAAAACCCTTTGGCTTCAACCTTCAGTTTTTGGTAGATTTATGCACCCAAAGGATCAAATGAGCTGAAGAAACAAGTTTGAGAAGGTTGTGATTTGGCTGTCATTCCTAATCGTGTGTGAAGTTCTTGTATGCATCTAAATGCAAGAATTTATTGTGTATAATATTATATTGTAACTGAAACATCTTGATAAGTTTTATGATTAAAATTGCAGCCTTTCAACATTCCTAATAAGAACAAGGTGGACAAGATCATATATGAGGAACATAAACTAGAACACAATTGACTCATAAAAAAACTGTCTTTAGGTCGGATAATGTAAAACCAATCTACAAATACCATTTACAGAACCATGCAGCAATATCTGATTCAAAGTAAGAGAGAAAATGACTAGTTGTATGATTTCATACAGTGGCAGCATAGGAACCATAGGTGGCAGAGAGAAAGAGCCCACATAATCTTGTTTTCTAAAGCATTGGTTAGAGTTTGTTCTTCCAAATTGCTGTTGGGGCTTTGGGTTTATCAACCCAATTCTTGGCCTTGTGCTCCTGAAAAAGAAAAGAAAAGAAAGGACTTTGTTCACTTTACAAACAAATCCTACTTTCCTCTCCATCTTCTCTTTCGCTTCTTTGTCGTTTAAACAAGAAACCAGGGGGAGTGAAGGATGGAAAGAGATGGAAGAAGAGGGAGTAGGGTTAGCATTATCAAGAGCTACTGAGCTGAGATTGAAAATCAGCAACTGCATCGTAAAAGCCGTCGCCGCCAAGCCTGTTTGCTAACAAAACCATGAAAATGGTAGCATGAATGCAGACAAAGGCCTTAATTCTCATGAAGAAGAAGAAGAAGATGAAGAAACAACCGAGAGGCTTTTGGATAATCGAGAAGCCCTTGAATCCCAACTCCTTGCTTTACAGGTTTGTTACTCTCCCCATTTTGTTAAATATTAGTTTTTTATGTTATAAACCCTAAGCCCATGAAGAAAACCCAGATTTTATTCCCATGTATGGATATGCATGCATGAGCATCTGTGAAACTAAAGAAAATTACCCATGGGATGCAATTTCAAGTCCTGATTTTTATGATATGGAACTTAAGAACAGATCTCTGGGATGAAGCCAAACTTTATATTCTTTCACAAGTCAGAAATGGCTAATGATGATTGTTTGAAATGCATAGAAATTGGTCCAGTATTTAGTCTATTGATGTTGAAAATTCAATATTAACCTAAATAAGTTCACACCTAAATTAATTTGATGTCATTGCTTACATCAATTTAGTTTTGATGTCATTGCTTACATCAATTTAATTAGGTGAAAATTAAGTATTTTTCTCATGTTTTAATTTCAATGGTTTAGATTATTTAGTGCTTATTTTAATGAGTGGTTTAGATTGTTTCTTGTAACCTATAAATACCCTACTTGTATTTGAGTTTTATCATCCAACAATCAAAGCTTAATTATAAGCATTTGAAAGCTTTCTTAAGAGTTCTTCCCTTTTGAAATTTTGTGAGATTATTCTAAAGAGTTTTTCTTCTTCTCAATCAATTAGAGTTTTTACTCTATTTTGATTCTACAATTAGTATCCGAGCCACATTTTTAAGGTCTCTTAAAATTCTGAGTATGCTCTGTGGCTGCAGTTTTTAACTGATATTCCACATCAGAAAATATATATCTTGAGTTATTGTCGGGGTTATTACAAACCTTGTGGAGCTTCTTTGTGTTTAGAGTAATTTAGTACTCTGCACGTTTGTTACTCAAGCCTGTTCGGTGTAGTCAAAGCCTTGCCGTTAAGATAGGTGATCTTCAAGTAGTTGGAGGAATCAAGAAGCTCAACAATAAAAACTACAACACGTGGACAACATGTATGGAGTCATACTTACAAGGTCAAGATCTTTGGGAGGTTGTCGATGGTGGTGAAGTTACACAACCGGCGACAGAAGATGCCAATGGAATCTTGCGAAAGTGGAAAATTAAAGCAGGCAAAACAATGTTTGCTTTAAAGACCACAATTGAAGAATAAATGTTAGAGCACATTCGGGATGCTAAAACACCAAAGGAAGCATGAGACACTTTTGTTACACTCTTTTCGAAGAGGAACGATACAAAATTGCAACTTCTCGATAATGAACTTCTATCAATGACACAACGCGACATGGCGGTTGCCCAATACTTTCACAAGGTGAAGTCAATATGTCGCGAAATTTCAGAATTACATCCGACAGATGCTATTGGGGAAGTCAGGATAAAAAGAATAATTGTCCATGGTTTGAGACTCGAATATCGAGGGTTTGTTGCCGCTGTACAGGGATGGCCGACACAGCCATCGCTTGTTGAGTTCGAAAATTTGCTTGCAGGTCAAGAAGCCATGGCCAAGCAAATGAGAGGAGTCTCGCTGAAGGGTGAAGAGGAAGTGCTCTACACCAGTAAAAGTAGAGGCACTTTTCAGCGGTATATGGCAGTGGATCTAAAAAGGATGGTGACAAGGTGAAAAATTACCAAGAAAGGGAGGCCCTCATTCAGGGGGAGCATCCAAGAATCGCGGTAATAGTAGAAAGTTCGATGGCAAGTGTTATAACTGCGGGAAGATGGGTCATATGGCAAAAGACTGTTGGACCAAGAAAAAACATGTTGAAAGTAATACTGCTACTTCTTGTTCGAAGGAGAATAGTGAATATGGTTGGGATGCTGAAGCGTTATTTGCTATGGAGGAAGAAGAATTAGCTCTCACGGTAACAACACCAGAACGGATTGACTACAAGAATGATTGGATTGTAGATTCTGGCTGCTCAAATCATATGATGGGTGACAAACAGAAGTTGCAAAACCTGTCTGAGTACAATGGAGGTCGTATGGTGGTGACAGCTGACAACTCAAGGTTATAACTCACATCGGTAAGACAATAGTTACGCCTCGATATAATACTAACCAGGTGCAACTTCAAGATGTTTACCATATCTCAGGAATGAAGAAAAATTTGCTATCTGTGGCTCAACTAACATCATCATGCCATTATGTCTTATTTGGTCCCC